CCCCCCCCCCCCCCCGCAACACACACCCTGTACAAAATCAATCCCAGGTCTATTGTGGGAATAAATGTGAAGAAACAGTCAAACAAACAAAGCTAATGCCCCTCCTATAAAAAGACCAATCACAAACTTCTTCAAGATAATATAGGAAACCATCATCAGGAGCACGGGAGAGACCTCTGAAATAGGACACCGAAAGATAAATCATAAAGAAATAGATTGTTAAATTTGACTATGTTAAATAATTTCTGTTTCTCAAAAGATGGATTTAAAATCTTTTAGTAGTGAGCAACAAAAAGACAAACAACTGATAAATATTTCCAAATGGTCAGTAGACAAATACAAACATATGCAAATGCTTTAGTTATAAGGAAAAGACAAAATGAAATAATTTTTGCTGTTCATTTATGGTTATGGCTTGTATCTAGATGTCCCCCGCAAAGTATATTTTGCTCAAAGGTGGGGCTTTGGACCTGGTTGGATCTAGGGCATGGGATGCTGAGATTAAAGGTGTGTGGTACTAAATTAGCCTACTGATCAAAATTAGCATAGTTTTGGGTGGCACCACCCAAAGCCTGGTAGCCTGAATGGGCTAAAAGGGAAAGGCAGGTTGCTGCTGCAGCTTGCTGCTCACTGCCTTCTGCCTGCCATGCTATGGACTGTTTTTCCTCTGCTGGGACCCTCTGTCATGTTGCTCTGCCTTGGAGCCAGATAATTATGGACTGAAACTTGTACAAACTGTGCACTAAATAAACCTTTCCTTCCTTAACTTGTGGGTGTTGGGTATCTTGTTCCAGTAATGAAAAAAAGTAAGATATTCACTGAAATAGATACTGGTAAAATCACTGAGAATAGGAGACACTGGTAGGGTACAGAACAATGGAACCCTTCCATGCTGATGGTGAGAATACAAATAGGTATAATCACTCTAGATAATTGTTCGAAATAATCTACTAAAGCTAAGCCAACGCAATACCCCATGATCTAGCACTTACTCTTCAAGATATGTACTTAAGAAATGTGTTACCAAAGAGACATGTACAAGAGGACTCATAGCAAACTATTTTGTAATAGCTGCAAGTTGGAAACAACCTGTGTAGCTACAAAACAAAACAAAACAAAGAACAGTTACATCACATTCCACCCAATGAATACCCACACTGATGAAAGTGAAGAACAACCATGCATAATGGATAGATCAACCTCACAGGCATAATTCTGAACAAAAGAAGTCAGATAGAAATGAATACATAGTACATGGGATTCCCTATATGTATGGCTTAAAAAACTAACAAATCTAAACAAAAGCGTATCATAATTCATGTTTAGCAGAAAAATTGTAAAGAAAAATGAAGTTATTATTATAACAGTCAGAATGACAATTTCTTTTGGGGGACTAATAATTATAAGGGAGAGAAGAAGTCTTCTGGGATGCTGGCAATATGTTAATTTTTAGAAATCTGAATGGTAGTTACAGATATGTTTACTGTATATTAATTAGGAGATGCACATATCTTGTAGAGTTTGCTACATGTGCTACATTTTGCAACCATGAGAATAAAAGGGCTGTTCATTTTCTTCTTTTCCATACCTGGCACAGCATAAAATGCAAAGGGTCCTGTGGCTTTTCAAAGACTAAGTTTTCAGTGATCTGCTGAGAGAGAACACAATGCCTCAAATTTTAGTTCTGAGAGAAAGTTATGCATTTAGATTATAGCTGATCAGTTTTTCCCACTAGCCTAAGTGTACTATAGCATTTGAAATAAATTTATGGATCTCTACAAAAGAACAACTTTCTTACTGCTGATAAAAGTGGGCAAATTAAGATAAAATTGGAAGGGATAAAATTTAATTATAAATAGCACTAGATAATAGTTTCCAAGATCAAAGAAGTAGTAAGGAAGTTCTGGTAAAATCTTTAAGAATTGTGATTTTGGTAGACTGATATTAAATTACTTATTTTGAAGAGAAATTGAAGAAATATCCTTCAAATAAAAATTGAAAATGCTGTGTGATCTTACGTATAATCTTGCTTCTGAGACATTTGATTCTAAAAGGTAAAAGTTATGTTCAGTTGCAATATTGAAAGAAAAAGCATACATCACAGAAATTAACTTCCACTTGTTTTTGTAGTTATTGGATAGCTCAAAAATTATAATAAACATTTTTTAATCACAGAAAATAATAGATAAATTTCAGGTATAAAAATATTTAGCTATGTTTATTATATCTACATCATTCAATTATATATTTCATATATACTTGTATTTAAACATTACTTTTTTCTAATAACAATATTTTATGCATAAACATTAATTTTTGAAAGATGAAAATTAAAGAATGTTCAAAACTCTACTGTCTTCAACAGTTTTTGTCTTTAGGTTTAATAATTGGTAGTTCTTTGATTAAAGACAGAAACTCAGCCATTAGTTCTCTCCTAAAAAAGGACATTATAAGAAGAGAAAGGCATAAAGCAACATTAATGAAGTAGCTATCACTTATTCCAATTTTTTATGAGGAATCTGAAGTTCATATGAACTTAATAATTTTCCTCAAATCACAAAGATAACAAGTGGCAAAATTAGAATTGTAGCCATTGGCTAACAGATTGTAATATTTTTGCTTTTTCCTCTATATTTTGCCTTATATTTTTTTAGTTTTGATGTTTTCATTTGAGGTGGGTTCTTCTAACTTTACCTTTCTGATTGTGAGTTACTTCATGTAGATATGTTATTATAGACGTATATGTGCGTTGCCAGCTAAATAATATTAACATAAAAATTAACATTCTAAACAAACAAAAACAACATACCAAATACCTGCTGTCCTCTCCTCCCCCAATAAAGCTGTGATAATCTCTTGTGGTTTGATATTGGTCAAGGACTTATTATGCCTTAAAAGTAGCTGCAGTGTTATACTCTGAGATTTATAACTTCAAGACTCACAAACAATTTTTCTTTTTCCTTCTCAATTAAAGAATATATGTTCTTAGATGGTGACAAGATTGGTCATCATTAGAAACTATTGTGTTCTTGTCTGGAAAGCCCTTTTCTGTCCTTTTTAATTGCCAGTATTTTGTCCTTTTGTCCTAAAGGTTAAAACCTTAATTCTTGGCCAATGTATCAACCATCCTATCTCATCTCTAACCACTCTGGGGGATTTAATATTATGGCATCATTCACTTGATGTTTATCATTTACTACTTTCAGTTAAAAAAAAGCACAGTAAATACACTTACTAACTTCTTATTTAGATCATATTTTCCCATTTTAATAGCAAATACCCTTTCTTACACTTTTTGAAAAACTTACAATGAGAGAAAAGGATTGAGAGGTTTACCTGGAATATTTGCAGGATGTTGTGTTCCTCCATGTACTGGAGTGACACCTGGTATGGATCTTCATAAACTATAGGAGGGAAACTCCCCCTGGGAGTTTCCCCCTGCTTCTGTGTATGAGAAGTATTTTCTTGCTCGAATTCTGAAAAATCATCCTGAAACTGAAATATCCCCCAAAGAATTTTTAATAAATCTAAAAGCTCTGGAAAATTTTGCAGATATAGTTATTGATGGACTCTGATATGAATGGGATCTTAAAACCAGGAAATAGAGGAAAGATAGACTTTTGTGAGAGACTCAACTCATCTTCCAGGCAATATGATGCACCTCAAGCCCTGGGAGGTACTTTAGGTATTCTCAATCTACTTCAAATACTTTCCCTTTCACATGGATCTCCAATCAATTCCAAACTCTCTTCCCTTGGTAGACACCCAGACTGGGGAAATGACTTAATGTACAGAATTAAGAATCAGGACTTGAAACCCAGGTTTTCTAAATCCTGGTTCATTAGTCCTTTTGGAGGCCTCAAAGTGGTAAAGGAGGTGATAGATCTCTTTTGCTTCCATAACCTCTCTTTCCTTTCCTGAGACTGATGGGGCGTACATACTATAACACATGGGTTTATTCCTCATCTTCAATCCAACATGTGTCCTCCCACCCCCTGCCCTATGCCATTTCCACTGCCGTCTTGGCCTCTAACCTCCCAGGAAGTATCAAGTGCTCTTTTCACATACAGGTTTAATTTCTGTGGCTTGAGTTTTTCTTTGACTGGTGTTAGGGTCCAAGATGGACAAGACAGCGGGAAGTTTTGAGTAAAAGGCTTGGTCTTTTCCTTGGAGATTACTGGTGACTCTGGCATCATCAGTGAAGGCTTGGCTGGTGGTTGGACTTTGACTTTCTGTTGTCATAGAAAGCTTGGGTTTGTGGTCTTGCAATTGACTAGGCTCAAATTTGCTGGGCTGTATGCTGTAGTCATTCTGTTTGTCTTGGTTGCTGAATTGGGAAGATATTCTATCCTCAGACTGGTCACCTGTTCTGTGGTAGGATAGGGAGTTTTCTTTTTGGTCAGCTTGTTTACCTGTGAAATTGTTAACCTGGTATTCTTCACTATAGGGACCTCTACCAACCATCAACTTATCTGTACTGATGTCAGCTTGGTAGATATCTTGCTGTTCAGTTGGTTTAGTGGCTTGGTAGTACTGTATAGCCGTTCTAGGTTCATCTTGGTCAGACAAGATCAGGTCAGCTTTCTCAGTTCTCTCAGCTAGGCTAGACAGTTTGAAGTCAATCTGTTCAGAAGTTTTTTGGTCAGATATTCTGTGTTGATCATTCTCAGATGCTCCTTTATTGGGTGGCATGGACAATGTGTCATCAATCTGCTGAGAAGCTAATCCTCTGACTTGGGTAGACAGTCCGTGGTCCACCTGCTCAGAGCCTCTTTTATCAGCCTGACCAGATAACTTGTGGCCCACCTGTTCAGAAACTCTTCTGTCAGCCTGGCTGTAGTCCACTTGCCCCAAAGCTCTTTTATTAGCCTGGCTGGATAACTTGTGCCCTACTGGCTCAGAAGCTCTTCTGCCAGCTTGGCTGGACCCTCTGTGGTCTACCTGCTCAGAGGCTCTTCTATCAGGCTGGTTGGATGATCTACGGTTCACCTGCTCAGAAGCTCTTCCACCAGCCTGATTGGACAACCTGCGGTCCACCTGTTCAGCAGTTCTATCAGTTAGATCAGGTACCCCATGTTCAACCTGTCTATATGCTATACCATTAGCTTGGCTGGATGTCTTGTCATCAGTTGAGTCAGATGATTTTTGGTCATATTGATCATGCACTGTATACCCAGAGTCTTCAGATACTCTGTGGTCAGCTTGAGCAGATATGATGGCTTCATGCTGGCTATATACTGCGTGGATAATTTGGTCAGCTATTCTGTGGACTGTGTGGTCATCTTCATCCTCTTTGGACTGGTTCTCCTGGTTGTCTTCTTCAAGGTTGTTAGTTGGACCAACATTTGGGGGTATGGCTGTGCTTTGAGGTCCCAAGGATTCAGAGGAACCCTCTTCTAGAAGCTCATCCATTTTCTGCTGAGTTCTTGTCTGGTTTTGGTTACTGGGTGCTCTGGGTGGGCCTCAGTTGTCTAGGCAACCTTCCATGAGTGGACAGAATTCCAACTTCTTTGTTTAGGCCTCCAAGCAACCCTGAGGGCTGGTGAATGCTTTGCTGCAGGCTTGGCCCAGTCGCTATCAAGAGAAAGACTGTTGGCTGGGCATGGTGGTGCATGTCTGTAATCTGAGCACTCTCAGAGGCTGAGGCAAGAGCATTGCAAATTTGAGCTCAGCCTAGGCAACTTAGTGACTTAGTGAGACCCTGTCTCAAAATTGAAAATAAACAAGGGGCTGGGGATGTAATTCAGTGTGAAGGCCCTGGGTTCAATCCCAAGGAGAAACAGAGAAACAGAGAGAGAGAGAGAAAGACAGAGAGAGAGAGAGAGAGAGAGACAGAGAGAGAGAGATAGACAGACAGAGAGAGAGAGAGACAGAGATAGGGAGAGAGACAAGAGAGACAGAGAGACAGTGAGAGAGACACAAAAGAGAGAGACAGATGGAGAGAGACAGAGACAGAGACAGAGACAGAGACAGACAGAGATGAGAGAGAGAGAGAGAGAGAGAGAGGGAAAGAGGAAAGAGCCAGTCAGTGCCAGCGTTGTGACTGACTCCACAGTGCATGAGTGTGCTAGGCACTGTTGTAGTACATGGGCCTGCAAAAAGTTCTTTAGATTCTAATCCATATTGTGGTAATGCGACCAAATTATGTTCTTTTTTTTAAAGGAAAGAAAAAACAATAAAAACAATGATACAGAAATTCAAAACAAGATAGTAGGAAATTAACAATGGTTAATATATTGTGTATTGCTAACATCAAAGTAGTTGCTCAGATTACAAGATACAGGCATGCAAGACAGATCAAACAATGTAAGCACAAACTATTCCCTTCAATGAACTAAAGAAATTAGTAATATAACTATCTTAGTTATCGTGTGTGGTGTATCTATATATATATTTTTTCTTTTTCTTTTCTTTTCCTTCTTTTCTCTTTTCTCCCATCCCAGTTGTTCTTTCCTTTTGGGCAGTTTTTTCCCTTTCACAATATCTGTTGTAGATTTTGGATCCTATTTACTCTGGGAGATAATACAATGTACACGTGTGAGTCTGATTTATTTCACTTATGAGTATGGTCTCTAATTGCATCCATTTACCTATAAAAACCTTGAGTTTTTCCTTCTATATAGCTGAGTAGTACTTCATTTTATAAAAATGCCACTTCTTTTCTACCCATTCCTTGGTTGATGGGCATTTGGGTTGTTTCCAAGATTTAGCTATTACAAATTGCGTTGCTATAAACATGGATGCACATATATCACTGTGTTATGATGTTTTTAATTCTTCTGGAAAAATACCCAGGAAGGGAATAGCTGGGTTGAAAGGGACCTCTAATTCTACTTTTCTTGGAGGAATCTCCACACTGATTTCCACAGTGCTTGGACCAGTCTACATTCCCACCAACAGTGGAGCAGGGTTACTTTTTCCCCATGGCCCTTCCAGTATTTGCTGTTCGTTAAATTCTTGATGGCAGCCACTCTTAGTGGGGTGAGATGAAATCTCAATGTTGTTTATTTTGCATTTGTTGAATGACCAATGATTTTGAACATTTTTTCATATATTTATTTCCTTTTTTTGTTTCTTCATCTGAGAAGTGTGTGTTCATCTCAGATTTCCATTTTTGGATTAGGACTTTCAATTTGGGAGTGGGTCTGATTTTTAAAAATTCTTTATATGCTCTAGATAGAAGTCCTTTGTCTGAGGGACAGTTGGATAACATTTTTTCCCATTCTGTGGGTTTTCTTTTCTCTCTGTTGATGATTTCTTTTGATGTGCAAAAGCTTTTTAATAAGCTTAGATCCCAGTTGATTCTTTGAAGTATTTCCCATGCAGGTTGGTTTTTGTTTGTGAACTCTCTGCCTACTGCTATGTCTTCAAGAGTTCTACCTACTTTCCTTTCCAGTAGACTTAGTGTTTCTGTTCTAATATTTAGGTCTTTGATACATTTTGACTTTAGTTTAGTGCATGGTGATAGATTTGGGTCTAGTTTTAGTCTTTGGCATGTTGAAAGCCAGTTTTTCCAGCACCATTTGTTAAAGAGGCTATCTTTCTTCCAGTGAAAATATTTGGCCCCTTTGTGAAAGATAAGGTGGCTGAGTGTGTTTGTAGTTGTATCTGCATCTTTTAGTGTGTTCCACTGATCCTCAGGTCTGTTTTTTTTTTTTTTTTTTCCTCAGTACCATGCTGATTTTATCAGAGTAACTTTGTAGTATAATTTTAAGTCAGGGATTGTGATGCCTTCTGCCTTGCCTTTGTTGCCCAGGATTCCTTTTGCTATTCTAGGTCTCTTCTGGTTCCAGATGAATTTTAGAAGTGTTTTCTCCAAATCGGTGAGGTATGCTAATGGTATTTTGATTTAGATTGCATTAAATCTGTGTAACAGTTTTGGGAGTGTGGCCATTTTCACAATGTTGGCTCTTCCTATCTGTAAGCAAGGAATTCCTTTCCATTTTCAGAAATCTTCTTTGATCTCTTTTTTTCAGAGTACTGTAATTTTCACTGTACAGATTTTTTACTTCCTTTGATAAATTGATTCCTAAGTATTCCATTTTTTTGGATACTATTCTGAAGGGTGTGCTTTGCCTAATTTCTCTCACAGTGAGGTTTTTTTTTTTTTTTTTTTTTTTTTTTAAACAGGAATGCTATGGATTTTTGAGTGTTGACTTTGTATCCAGCTACACTACTGAACTTGCTTATTAAATCTAGATGTCTTTCAGTGGAGTTTTTGGGGTCTTCTATGTAGAGTGTCATGTCATCTGTGAATAATCCAAATTATGTTCTTTTCATTTTTAAAAACCATTTTTCAGTATCATCTTTACAGACCACATCAATTCTTTTTCAGTGGTATCAGGAAGAGTTTACACTTCCTAACCATACTAATCTCTCCTCTCAATAAACGGGTACAGACTGCAGAGTTTTATGCCCCTTACCCCAGGTCATTCCTGCAGGAGCATCTTCTTCTCTGCCTCAGGAACAGGTGACCAACTATTTCTCATTTTATCTAGGAAGAGCATCCAGGCTTTTGGAAACCCCAGCCCCAAGGTGTATTCTTGCTGAATTAGACATGATCTATGGCTGGATTAGCAGGGGATGGAGCAAAGATCCAGTAAAAATGAATACATAAATAACACCATTTAGTGTTCTAAGAGCAGAAAGGAGAGTTAGGGAGAGGCTCAGTGAGAGTTACAGAGAGAAAAGGAGGAAGGAAGGTGAGAAAAGACGGCAGAAGTAATATTGAACAAGTGGAGAATTTATAATTGATGATGTAGACAGTAGAGTCCAGGTTTTGAGATACAGCCCCGGAAATAAACTTTAATACTTCACTTCAGGGCCAGCAGGCCCTTGCTTTCAGGAGTAGGGCAGTACACAGTGGTGACTGATGACATTTAGCTTTGATTCTCTGGAGCCTAAATCACTAAGGTTCAGAATTGACGGGTGATGTCAGATACTGCAATAATAGTTTAGTTGCATTCAACAATTAGAGATGAGACTTGAAGCCTGAATGGAAATAGTAGTGATCAAACTGTGGACAGGAGAATGGGTGTCCTTGGCACCATACTTAGGACAATAAAAGGGAAATACAGGTAGACTGAAATGAAATCATTTAAGTAGCAGTACCTAAACATATTAGGTACACAGAAAGTATTTATGAATATAAATTTGTGAGGGGTCACCCTACCACAGTGACTGGGTGAGAAGTGGTTACAAGAGACAGTCATGGAGAAGCCATGGGCTACACACAGACATCCTGAGAAGTTTAAACTCAGGCTGGGAAGGACACAGGGATCTTGCCCTCTGAGTTGAGAAGGCAGTATGGTCATGTGTGGCTTTCGGAGGGGCTGGTTCTAAGTCCTATATCTAACACAGAACTCAGTGGTTTGTTTGCTCTTCTCATCTGCCTACATGATCATGGATATACCGTCACTTGGACAATTGCCACAGCCTGGGGTGTACGGACAAAGACACCTAAGGAGCAGGGGGTTATGTCACAAACCCACAGGTCATAAAGCTATGCAGAGGATGCTGTGACTTGGGGATCACAGAGGGGCACAGAAACTGGTAGTGACTAGAGTGAATACAGCCTTAAGGTAGACACTATTGATCACACCCAGCAGGAAATGTGGGGCAGGATTCAGCATTCCTACATCAAAAACGTGAGTGTGGAAATAAAGTAGGTCTTAGTAGTGATTTACTAAATCTCTCTCATATCTGGTAGCTTTCAATACTGCAGAAACTGGAAAGAAGCCATTAAAAGATGTAGAGTGTTATGATTTGTGTCTAGATGTCCCCCCAAAGCCTCATGCAATCACGGGGCTTTTTCAGAGTTGGCTGAATCTAGAGTGTATGACTGGTCCATGGTGTAATGCTAGGATTAAGGGTGCTGGGAGTAAGGGTGGGTGATTTCTGGATCAGTCCACTGATTGGATTGCCATTGCTCTAGTCCCAGTAGACTGGACACAGTATAAGGGACAGAAGGAGGCTTGTCTCTTCTTTCCCTCCTTTTTAGTTTTGCTGTCTTTCACTGCCATGAACAGTTGCTCCTCTGCCATGTCCCACCCTGCCTTGGAGCCAGCCCAGTATGGACTGAAACCTCTACAAACAGTGAGCTAAATTAATCTTTCCTCCTTTAGCTTTGTGTGTCAGATATTTTGTCCCAGCAATGACAGAAAAGTAACTAAAGAGAGTATTTTTGGACTCATTTTTCTTCATTATTTTAGGGGGTATGGGTTTTTTCTTTTTATTCCTTTCTTTTAATCTTTTTTCTTGTTTGTCCTTTTCTGTTACTTTTACCTAATTCCATTAATTCTGTTTTACTAACTAATAGGATCCTTTATCTCACTTTTCTCTCCTCATCTTCCTTTTCTTTTTCAGCCTTTACTTCTTGCATTTTCCCTTCAACGTCTTCCCTTTTACTAGTACTGCTTTACTATGAAGCTTTACTGATATTTAAATGTCAGTTGACTCTATTAT